CAGTGACCATCTGTGATAATAATACAATAATACAGGCGGTAATTGGATTACTATTGGATAGTCATTTGAATTTACATTGGATTGATTTAGTTCGATAATCCATTAGATTTTGAGGATGATTCAATAACTTATACGTTCTAATTGGATTTTAAAATTTTGAAACTGGTTCAATCCAATTATAATTGGATATCTTATACGGTCGATTGGGTTGTAACTCATCAGTCGGTTTGAATTGAATCGGGTAAGTTTTACATACCTATAATAAAAATATAAAATTGTTATATAATCATTTTAAGTATATAAGAAAAAAATAACATATTTTTATTAAAAGATAAAACTAAAATTATAAAAGAGACATGAATAGAGATACCTTTCAAAACCACATAAACACATGTGAAATGTTACCTTTGAAATCCGCATAAAGAGATGTGTACCGTTGACCAAATACATGATTCGTCAAAATTTGTATATTATCATCTATTAAAAACCCGATTTGACGGGTTATTGGAAATATCTAGACCCAATAGAGACCAACACACAAACTCTCTCTAGGCTTACTCTAACTTGACAACTATTGTGATCAACTTCGTACCCCATCCTTCTCTCTCTAAAATTGCTGTTGTAACACTCCAAGTTGGTGAGAAATTATTTGTTACTTTTTAGATTTTGTCACTTTCTTTCAGTTTCCAGGTAAATTCTGAAAACGAACCCTAGATAAATTCTTGTCTTAGATTGGTGTTGATTGATGACTGCCGCTGATAAAACGGATCGAGTTATGCAGAATCTTAAGTGTGTGTACCTGAATCGAAGGTAATTGCTTGATTTTTCTGTGTTATAGATATTTCAACCTTTATGTAACTGTGATTTGCAACTTGTAGCGCGAATTTTGTGAATTTCTGATCTGATTTGATAATATGGAATCCCGACGAATACGGTTACTGTGTTAACACTAAACATTGTTAATTGCTAATTGCTAATTGCTAAATGACTTCGTAGTTCTCTATGAAACTGTGATGTCCTCAAAACTCTACATGAATTGATTTGATTTGATCAATCTAGTGAAGATAGACGCTTGTATTCAATGATGTTTGGTTGAGTTTTGGTTCTATCATTGGTGTAGGTGATATCTTGTATCCATGTGTAGATTCCAAGGTTGAAGTGACAACCTTTGTGAAATTTCCACTGAGCTAGCAAAAATCCAAGGTAAATATACCTCACTTCTTTCTGAATAGCACATGTCTGATGGACACGTATGTGTTCACAACTGTAGTAGAATCTAATTGTTGATTTTTCAGATCTTATCGAAATTGATTGAAGTAAATTTGCTTTCTTTTTTCATTCATATTTCTTATGTTTAAATGTTCTTAGGATTCGATATATCATCATTTGTTTTTCTTCCTTCTTAAGGCACATTGAATATAATGTCTGGAAGCCGGGATGGAAGTCGTGACCTTGGTAGCCAATCAGATGACAGCTTTCATTATGAAAGACCACACGTAGAGCCTATTTATGATGCATTCATATGCCCTCTTTCAAAACAAGTCATGAGAGACCCTGTTAGTATTGAAAATGGGCAAACTTTTGAGCGAGAAGCCATTGAGAAATGGTTTAATGAGTGCAAGGAGAATGGAAGGAAGCTGGTGTGTCCCTTAACATTAAAAGAACTTAAAACAACAGACATGAATCCAAGTATTGCTTTAAGGAACACAATTGAAGAATGGAATGCTAGAAATGAAGCTGTGCAACTTGACATGGCTTCCAAGTCTTTATCTCCTGGTAGTTCTGAAAGTGATACTTTGCAGGCTTTGATGTTTATTCAGCAACTTTGTACTAAAAATCTTTCAAGCAAACACATTATTCGTAATGCTGAGCTCATACCCATGATTGTTGAGATGTTGAAGAGCACCAGTCGTAAAGTCCGGTGTATGGCTCTTGAAACTCTTCGAGTTGTTGTAGAAGATGATAATGATAATAAGGTAAAACAAGTCATATCTTGACAACATTATAATCGATGCATTTTATCTGTGTGTGTGTGATATGGTGTTTTTTTTTTTTTTTTTTTCTGTTTTGCAGGAGATAATGGCTGATGGGGATAAAGTGCGCACAATTGTGAAGTTTTTGTCTCGTGAACAGTCTCAAGAAAGGGAAGAAGCTGTCTCTTTGCTCTATGAGCTCTCAAAATCCAAGGCTTTGTGTGAGAAAATCGGCTCTGTTAATGGTGCAATCCTTATTTTAGTTGGAATGACAAGCAGCAAATCAGAAAATCTTTTTATTGTTGAGAAAGCCGACAAAATTTTGGAAAATTTAGAGAAGAATGAGAATAACGTGAGGCAAATGGCTGAAAATGGAAGATTGCAACCCCTCTTGACACTTCTCCTTGAAGGTATTACATATATCATACAACAACAACAACAACAACAACAACAATACCTCACTATATCATCTCATTAAATCCTTTTCAGGTTCCTCTGAGATAAAATTATCTATGGCTTCATACCTGGGTGAGCTGGCGCTTAGCAACGATATAAAAGTCTTTGTTGCAAGAACTGTAGGCTCATCATTAATCAACTTTATGAAAACCGGTGACATGCAATCTCGAGAAGCTGCTCTCAAAGCTCTAAATCAAGTCTCCTCATGTGAAGCAAGTGCAAAAGTTTTAGTTGAAGAAGGTATACTTCCACCTCTAGTCAATGACCTCTTTGTGGGCCCCAACCGCCTTCCTATTTTACTAAAAGAATTATCCGCCACAATCCTTGCAAACATCGTAATCTGCGACTGCGATTTCAATTCCATCCCCGTGGGGCCCAACCACCAGACGTTACTCTCCGAAGACATAATCCACAACCTACTCCACTTAATCTCCAACACCGGTCCATCCATCGAGTGCAAACTCGTTCAAGTCCTCGTCGGAATCACCAATTCCCCCGTCACCGTGATTCCGGTCGCCAACGCAATCAAAAGCTCCGGCGCCACCATAAGTTTAGTCCAATTCATCGAAGCCCCACAAAAGGATCTCCGGATGGCTTCCATTAAGCTTCTCCATAACCTCTCGTTACACATTTCCCAAGAATTAGCAACCTGTCTATGCGGGCCCGCCGGTCAACTCGGTAGCCTGTTTAAAGTGATATCGGAAAATATCGCGAGCACCGAAGAACAAGCGGCCGCCATCGGAATCGTGGCGGACCTTCCGGAACAAGACGTCGGAGTCACGCGTCAAATGTTAGACGAGCGTGACTTCGAGATCGTTGTTTCTAGAACAAAAATGATCCGACAAGGAGAAACGAGAAGAAGCCGTTTTGTCACACCGTACCTCGAAGGACTTGTCCGTGTCCTTTCGCGGATCACTTTTGTTTTATCCGACGACCCGAGAGCCGTCGTGTTTTGTCGGGACCATGAGCTCGCGGCATTATTCACGGAACTACTCCAACAAAACGGCCTCGACAACGTGCAAATCGCGTCCGCTCTCGCGCTAGAAAACCTCTCGCACGAATCGAAAAACTTAACGAAATTACCCGAGATTCCGCCACCTGGATTTTGCGGGTCCGTTTTTCCTTGTTTGGGGAAAAAACCGGTGATGACGGGGCTGTGTAGGGTCCACGGGGGAGCGTGTACGCAACGGGATACGTTTTGTTTGTTGGAAGGGCAAAGTTTAGCGCGATTGGTGGCGTTGTTGGATCATACGAATGAGAAGGTGGTTGAGGCTTCGTTAGCTGCTTTGTCGACTTTGTTGGATGATGGGGTGAATATTGAAGAAGGGGTGAGTGTGTTGTGTGAGGCTGAAGGGATTAAGCCGATTCTTGATGTGTTGTTGGAGAATCAGACTGAGAATTTAAGGAGACGAGCGGTTTGGATGGTGGAGAGGTTGTTGAGGACGGAGGATATCGCGTATGAGGTGTCGGGGGACCCGAATGTTAGTACTGCCATTGTCGATGCGTTTCAACATGGGGATTATCGGACACGACAAATTGCGGAAAGAGCACTTAAACATATTGATAAGATACCTAACTTTTCTGGGATCTTTCCTAACATGGGTTGAATCTCGTTTTGGTACATATAGATAAGGTGTTGTACTTGTATGATTTTGTTGTCATTGTTAATTGTTCATATTTATTTCACATGATTTTCCATGTATTTTATGTGGACTTGGAATGTGGTGGGTAAAAATTGTGCAGTTCTTTTCTCTCTCTGTAGGATTGAGCAATTCTATACGAGTGAGGATAGCAAAAGGTTGTCTATTGTTATTTGGATTCAGTTAAGATTTAAGACATTTCTTGTAGTTGTAACTTGTAAGTATATTTTTCTTGATTTTGGTTGAGTTTAATCATTACGCAATAGTGTGTTTATTTTGTAAAATTTAAACTTGATTCTACTTGTAGCTACCAAATCTTAAGACTCGGCCCAAGGTAAATTAGTTACTTTATTTAGCTAAAGTTCCAAGTGTGGTTTAGTGGTTTTACGGGGCCTTCTTACAGATTAAATCTTACTTTGAGAAAGGTTTGAGTTTTGTTAGAAAATGATAATTATTTAAAAAAGATCGAAGGTTAAAGATATATATATATATATATATATTCTTGCAAATTCAATAAAACAAAAATGGGCATTTGGTCTAGTGGTATGATTCTCGCTTAGGGTGCGAGAGGTCCCGAGTTCAATTCTCGGAATGCCCCTACTTATTTTTTCGTTTTTTAATGGATATGGCTTAAAAAAGCTCCATGAAAATTGGAGTTAGTTCTTATAAACTTGAATTTAACCGGTTACACGTTTTCAGCAAACAAACTCAAAGTCTCAAACTCACTTATAAGTCACATCATGTCAGCTTGAATAATATAAATTTTTTGTGTTTTCATAGCTTCGAAAAAAACAAATCAAACAAACAACAAATGATCAATAGGTTATATGTCCATACCTACAACCATGTCTACACTACATTGAACAAATATGAATAAAATAAGCAACAAATACATCCAACCCACACCCCCTTGACTCCTAGTGTTATAAAGTTACAAGTGCACAACAGCCACTGATTTAGTCACACACGAAGAAGCATCCAATTGATGAGCCACCTGATTCCTCGAAACATGAACCCAATTCTTCTTCTTCTTCTTTTTCTTCCCCACATCACTCACATCAAACACAGTCAAAAAATCCAAAACCTGCCCAAAAATCTTAAACATCTCAACCCCCAAAATCAAATTCCTATCACCAACAAACACCGCATTCCAATCCATAGGAGCATCCGGATGCATACAAACCTCCCCCCACTTGAACCCCACAAAATCCAACTCCCACACCTTCCTAACCGCTTTATTCCTCCTCCCAATCTGCCCTTCCCCTTCACACCACGACACCATCACCATAAACAACCGTTTCTCACACGCAATAAGCTTCGGGTAATACTCATGAACCCTTGATCCCAATCTCATTGTTTGAATCCCAACCCAATACCCTTTCTCTATATCATACCCCACAAGATTATCACTCTCCGAGTAAACATAAAACACCCCATTACAAACAACACCCGAACACACAACCCCAAAATCAACCGGAACCTTCTGGACTTCCACCCATTTGTTCGTACAAGAATCGTAAATCTCACACGAATCCAACGGTTCCTCCCACGACCCAACCCCACCAACCGCAATAATCAAAAACCTTCTAGAATCTTTTCTCTTCACATGTTCGCTCTTTTGTCTACCAAACGAAACCTCATTTTCATCAAAAGAGTATCGCAACTGACGCCTAACCGACAACCTATGTGGATCCTCGTACACATCCGACACCCCGCCCACCCGTGTCCTAACAACCCGTCTTTCTTGACGGTTGTTTTGCGATTTGACAACCACAAAATCCGATTTCACTTCGTATACTCCTAAAACCGGTTTTGACCTCGCGTGTTTCATGGACGCGACTTTTTGCCATGACTTGGTCAACGGGCTAAACGCTAAAACCCCTTTGTGGGTTTTCACCGAGCTTCGGTCCAACTTCCCGAAATTGGTCAAACTTGAACAACCACCAACTACGTAAATGTTGTCTTGAATGTTAACAACCGAGAACATGAATCGACCTTTGAGAACCTCGGATTCGATTCTATGCCATTTGTTTAAAGACACATCGAACGCGTGTATCTCACGCGAACAAAACCCGTCTTTCACGGATCCAAAGAGAAACAACCACGGGGTTTGAAAAAGCCCGTCTCGCCTCATTTGCATGAACCGTGTTGTCAATGTTAAAGCCCGCCATTTCTTGCACACGAGGCGCGCTTTCATGAGACTGGTCAACGGAAGTCTTACCAAACACATTTCAACAATATCATCCGGAAGAAATACATGTGATACTTGTTGTTGTTGTTGTTGTGACTCTTCGACTTCTGTGAGTTTTCTATTGCTTCGTTTCCAAAACCGGTCTTTTACTCCATATGAGAAGCAGTCGATGGTGGTGTCATCGGGCCCACATACGGGTTTATAGTTATACCCTTTTGCTTCTTCGTTGGAACACGAAGGGCGTCTCCGGCAATCGGAAAATTCGTCTCCGGTGGTGGCTCCGACCTTGCAACCGCCGCCACGTGTGTAGAGGGTTGGACATTTTATTGAAATGCCACGTGTGTTGTCCTCGTCATCGTCTACTATGTTTCCTTGGTTTTTTCTTTTTAACTTTTGGCTTAGGCTTCTTACGAGGCGTTTTGATACACTTAAAACCTCGAGTTCTTGATGAAGTGACGTTTCATCGGTTAAATTTTCAGATATCATCTTTGCTTACTTTCTAGTATCTAATCATCAATCCCAAACCTGTCATGTGAAAATTGTAGTTAACCCTTTTTTAAATTAGATGAGCATCACAGTTTTATTTCTTCATGTGCTTTAAAAAATCTACTCAACTATAGCAATGTCATTCATGTACAAAGAAATTGTCATTGCTATAATTGGGTAGATTTTTCAAAGTGTAGTGTCCGAAAAGAAAGAAATGAACATAGAATGCTATGTTACAAAAATAAATTAAAGTACATTAACATGAAAGTTACTAGTTTTAACGATTCAAGTTCTTGTCTTATTAGGGAATATGATGAGGATAAGGAGGGCATTTATGTCTTTTGTACATACGAAAGATCAAGAGAATGTAGCATAATTTATCTTGTCTTATTAACTAACAGCTTCTTTACGCTCCATTTTGGGATAAAATCTTCTTGTTGTGTTGTTCTAACAGATGTTTGAGATTTGAAGCATAAAAGTTACTAGTTTTAACGATTCAAGTTCTAATTTCTGATTACATTTCTAGTTTTCGTTGTTCCAGGATTTGCTTTAGTTTGAAATTCGAATTAGGTTTTAAGTTTTCTCAACTAAATTACCGTATATTCATTCCCTTGCTTCGAATTGAAGATAAAACCCTAAAGTGCACATCATACAATTAAGTCAACAGCTCATAAGATCACGCAATTGAATTTAAACAGGAGTAAATACAATCACAGAAATTTCACAAATCAATGCACACAAACACACAGTGTGTAAACAAGAGAAATCCAACAAAACGATTCATTTGGGAAAAAACAAGGTAATGTGTGAACTGATGCAATCTATAGAAGATCACGAATTACACTTACCTCATCAAAGCACTTTAGCGACGAAAGAATCAGCCTTTCCAAATCAAGGTTCTTGATCTGCGCATAAAGATCGATCCAGATGGAAGGGTAATGAAAAAAATTAGGAATTTCTGGAAAGATTCGAAGAACTAACTGATCTTGTAACTGGAAACCAAAGTCTTGAAATGGGAACAATGGGAGGAAAATTATTTGTTGGGTTTGAAGGTTTTTTGCTGATTTTAGTAAAGTTCAAAAGGCGAAAAGCAAAGAAGAAAAGAAAAGAAATTAAAATTCTGTTGTGGATGTGATGTGAGAGATGATGCATCTGGTTCTGGTGAGTCTCTTTTTTGAACTCAATCATCATACCGATGTGGTGGAGCATTTATTTCTTCACCTTTGCTTTTATATTTTTGCTCAATTATATTATTATTATTATTATCTTTATTTTCTATATCTAATTATTCATGGTATATTGGTGCTCGATTAGCTCACCAAGTATATGGGGCCTAATTTCATTAATCATTTTCGAAAAAACTTGTAAGATCGACGTCGTCTACATTAGAATTAACCAAAGGGTCACATGTTACATAAACAACGAACACATTTTTAGGGTTGTTTGCTTTTTTAACTTCAAAAATGTTTTTGAACAAAAAATATTTATTGATTTATGGTGGTAGCAAAAGAAGGTTTTTTAAAAATGTTTGTATTAGTTTTTGTATTGGAAAAAAAAAAATTTATACTTGTAAAATGACTAAAAAAAAGGCATGGAAAGAAAGAAAAGAAGAAAATGAAAATGAAAGAGTTCATTAAGGATAATATACTCATGTCCAGTTTAAAAGGTCAAAAATACTTAAAAACAAGGTTTACAAAAACGGGATTACATAGAATCATTTTCAAGTTTACAAAATTGTGACCATAAAATGGAAATCATAAGAATCTACAAAAAAAAACAATGAAGAACAAAAACCTAAGCTTCTAAGTTCTAACTTCTCACACACATGAAAAATATTAAGAACAAAAATTTGACTTAAACTTCAACTACATTAAATTAAAGCTTTTTTGAAACTTCAACTACAATAATCATTACTTCTTGAACTACATTCACATTTCACAGTTTCACATACATGTAATCTTGTTTTGAAGCTCGCCATAATCAGTAGAAACTTATGTAGTGTGTGGAATTTGTTGAACAATTGATGGCTAGAGGTATATATGACTTCAATATTCTTGGATAATTTTAAAGTTTTGAGGCACAATTGGGTTAATCAGAGCTGAAGGGCGAGTAAACTTGAAGCTGGAATTCATATTTTAGAGTTTTCCTTCTTTGCCCGTTTTCTTTTAGAGTTTTAGTCATTTAATAGAGTCAAACGAGAAAGGTAGTTGGTCAAGAGGTCAAGGTTAGGTGGTCAACAAGTCAATTATTCAACAGGTAGAATCAAGATGTTTACGATTTTACGATTTCACAACCTGATTGTATGATTCTACCTAAAAACGAGTTTACTATGACCAAATTCGAAACACAAACATAAGATCGTAGAATTATGCTTTTCTATGATTAAAATCACGTTTTTTATAACTTTGCTTACAAAGTCACGATTCCCTTACTTTTGGAAACCTCCTTTTTAAAGTATGCCAAAAAAAACTATTTTGAAAAGCACTTATGTAATAGCCAAACAAATTTTGTTCTTTTATTTTTTTTGGCTTTTAAGTCAATAAATCATTTTGAAAAACAATCTCAAACACTTTTTTACTCAACTCATAAATTATATCATTGTCTTGTATATGACCATTGAGTTATTCATCTATATATCTAAATCAAATCATGAATAAATGGTTTTTTATTAAACATGTTAAATAAATGATATTTCTTAATACGAAGATAAAAACTTTAAGTGATTAAGATATTGGGTTTTCTACATAAAAGTTATTAGGTTTTTTAGATTTTTGTGATTTTATCTTAAGTTTTGATGCAACCTATTAATTTTACCATTTTTTTTTGTTGGTTTCTTTATTTTCCTCCACAAAAACCTTTAAGTTTGTAGTGTTTTTACAGTTTTACTTTATGTATATATTTTTTCGTTTCTACTTTATAATTTTCAAGCGACCCATATTGTAGTATTTTTTTCGATTTCTCATTTTCCTTGTACATACATTAATCTGTATATTCCTACCTTTTCTTTCGGTCCACATTGAACCTTTTTGGACCGTTACTACAAAACTACAAGATGGGTTTGAAAGGATGCAAAGCCTGTCCAGACGGTGGGCAACCCAGACGATCGTTCAGGGTTCACGTCTCCATGGGGACCAAAATTTTGAGGCTATGCAGTGTATATATATAAAAAAAAATTATTACATAAATGATTTTTAAAGCTTAAAGTTTGTTCAAACTCAAACTAGCTGAAAAGATAAACAATTTGACTTATTTATTATTTATAACTGAACGTGTTTATAATAAAGAATAAATGATTTTTTTTAATCTTTATTATATTTGTATTTAAAAGACCTTTTTTTTTCTTTTCATCTCGGGCTCCATATACGTTTGGACCGATCCTGAAGGGATGGAACCATAAACCTAAACAATGCAAATATAGACTCAACACACACACACACACACACACACATATATATATATATATATATATATATATATATATATATATATATATATATATATATATATATATATATATATATATTCAAATGAGAACAAAAAAGATTAAGATTTGTAGGAACCACTTATTTTGGTTTATTCTTTCAAACTTATTTTACAATAAAACTTCCCAAACCCTCTCAAACTCTCCCAACAACACTTTCATCTTTTATTATATCAGATTCACACACTACACAAAATCTATCTTCTCTCTCCTCTCAAACTTGAAGAACACATAAACATTACCACCAGTTGTCACCAACCACCACCCCTTAGCGTCGATGCATCCTACGTCGCCATACCGTCGTCGCCTCCGACCACCGATAAACTACCGCCATCAGATCCACAAGCTCTGCTTGGCTCTAGATCTACAATTCCAACTTCAGATCTATAATTTTTAGCTTCAGACCTACGACTTTAGTTTTCAGATCCATGATTTTCATCTTCAGATCTACGACTTTCATCTTCAGATCTACGATTTTCGTATTCAAATCTACGACTTTCATCTTCATATCTACCATTTTTGTCTTCAGATCTACCATTTTCTCCTCTAAATTTATGAGCTCCGGTAAGCGGTGATAACCACCACCTTCATCCATCACTGTCATGTAACACCCCAAAAATCATGACCAAAAATTTCATTTTTAATTAAGTAGCTTATAAATTTGTTTACTGAAAAACATCATCAATATCATATCAACCCATAATCTTATAAGTCAAATATCATAAAACATGTCGTGGAATAATAATAATGTTATAGTATAATCCCATGGATCTCAAAATGCGGAAATCATATGTGTGTGTGATGCGTTGCTACCGTGCCAGCTCCTTCCCCTTCGATGCAGAGGTACCTAAAAACAAAACTGAAAACTATAAGCACAAAGTTTAGTGAGTTCCCCATCATACCACATACTATACAATAACATATCTAGCCAGGCATATCTGGGTATCAGTCTCCCCTTCGGTCTATTTCAACCGGATAGTTGCCTAGCATATGTGGGTGTTGGCCTCCCCTTCGGTATATCTGAACCGGATAACTGCCCAGCATATTTGGGTGCTGACCTCCCCTTCGGTCTATGTCAACCGGATATCGGGGACTATTTCACCCATACCACTACCACATAAAACCATAACATATTGGCACATAGAACATAACAGATAGTGGCATACCAGACAATTATCACACAAACAATCATCTAACTACAATCTTCTACTAATGGGTTGACATTGTGGCCTTAGACTCACTTCTACTAGAAGGCAACTCACATCGCAAAGCTGAGTGTCGAATCTGACAGGAAGTAATCTCCAACAGCTACTCCGATGACTCCCGGCTACCATAATCATAATAACACTCGATCAGAATTTATAACACTACTTAGGGTAAAATGACCATTTTACCCCCTTAACATAACTTAAACCATTCCTAAGGCCCAATTCTATCTTATTAAATCCAATGCACCTATGAGCCATCAAAGGCTCCCTAAGGGCCCACTAATGGCCTAATTTTCTAAATTGGGCCCAACCCTTCAAATAAGCCTTTTTGCAATTCTAATAAGTCCTTAGCCCAAAATGAAATAATCTCGAGTAGCCTAATATGGCCCAAAAGGCCCAATACTTCTGATTCTAAATTCCTAGGCCCATAACTATGCTCCACAATGTGCGGGGCCCAATAGTCCAGGCCCATACCCCTAAGGCCCAAAAAACCCAATATAGCCACTATGCATGTGTACGCGCGACGTACCTGGCACATATGCCCAACGTACGCTGGCCTTGACCAAAACGGGTACCAGGAGTGTACTGGCCAACTTTCTTGGGACTTCATTTGTGACTTAATCTATTAAGTCTTTACGTCCAAAATGTAGATCTAGGTCTTTAAGACTGCCTAATCCATAAAGTCACAAACTTTATGTGCTTGCATTCATGGTTGGGGTCAAAACACGATTTTGGTCCTTTTAACAAGCTTTATGACCGTTAAACACTTGCATGGTTGTGGCTTAACTCTCAAGGTCTGATTTTTATGACTCTTAGTGCCTCTAAGATCCTAAAAGGACATCTCTTATGGTATGAAATTATTAAGATGCAAGAAGCCTCAACAACGGAGTCCAAAAGTGGCCTTAAACACTCTTATAAACAAATCTAAGCATGCAATGGTCAAGTTTGGAACTTGATACCTCAAAAGAGTCAGAAATGATGGCAATCTCCTGGATCTACAAGCTCTTTGTGAATCCTTGCTCCTTCTTCAAGCTCCTTTCTCTTCCAAAGCACCAAAACTACACCAACATACTCTCAAATGGATTCCAAATCACAAGGACACACATATATGGGTTAGGGTTTTTGTGGTGGCTGCCTAAACGTGAGAGGGAGGTTGGACCAAAGGTACAAGGTCCTTTATATAAGGATCAAATCCTAAAAGTTAGGGTTTTAGACTCTGCATGTGTACGCTGAGCGTACCCTTTGGTACGTTGGGTATACGTGCATGGCCTCCCCACCCAATCCTCTTGAGTACGTTGCATGTACCTGGCATGGTACGCCCCGCGTAATGTGTAACAGCCTGGATTTCCAGGTATCTTTTATTCGCATATTTTTGGTGTTTTGTGAGGGGACTCGGCGAGTTGGAGCTCGAACTCGCCGAGTAGGGTCGCGGTTCTGGACGCGGGTTCGCGCCTGGACTCAGCGAGTCCAAGGGATGGACTCGGCGAGTCCGTGCTGTTTGATGAAACCTAATTTTCCGGTCCTAAGCTCTATTTAAAGGATCTTATGGCCCTTCATTGCGGCCACCTTGATCCTTGAGAGCACCAAAGCAGCTGAGAGCTCCTGTGAGTGAGATAAGAGGCTATTGTTCACCAAATTTGTGTGCTTTTGCAAGAAAGGAAGGGGGAAAGTCAAACTAGAAGAGTTGGGAGCTTAGATTTACTTCCATTTCACCAAGGGAAGCTTCTTGAGGTATCTTTCAGAGCTTATTTCCGTGTTTATGTTGATATGGTCAAATCTAGGGTTTCTTCTTGCCTTATTTGCTTTGTAATTGAAGTGTGAGAGGTCCCATGGAGATATGGTACCTAGATCTGGACCTTAGCAGGTCCAGAAAGTCCCAAATGATATGCTTTATGTCCTTCCTTTTGGGTTGGAGGCTAGGGTTGCCATATTAGTGGTCATTTCTCCAAAAAGAACCTTGTAAGTGTTGCATGGTGGCCAAGACTGTAACTTTACGTGATAAATGAGCTTAGGAGGGCCAGATCTATGAGTTTATGGAGCGGATCTGACCTCAGAAGCAAGTTTGAGTCGATGCATGGCATGGACTCGCCGAGTCTGAAGAACAGACTCGGTGAGTAACATGAAGATTATCCTTAACCACTTAGTGATTGGTCCTACCGAGTTATGGTTGACTCAGTAAGTCACGGGGAGTTAGAGAGGGATTGACAGATGGACTGAGTTGAGCTGGAACTCGCCGAGTTGTCCTTGCGACTCGGCGAGTTGAGTCGCGGTGGCCCTGCGATTCATGACCAGGTGGAACTCGTCGAGTCAGGGGAGTACTCGACGTGTCAAAGGGAAATCCTTGCGAGTTGGTGAAAACGCTTAGACTTGCCGAGTCGCTCTAGTGCACTCGCCGAGTCCGGTCAAATTGACCATTGACTGTTGACCAGTGTTGACTTGATAGGGATGGTCAACCTTAGTGGTACAAGTATTAATTAGAGATATATGATGTTATAGGAGGATTATAGCTCGGGGGTTCGAGCACGAGTGATTTCCAGGGTTCGCGAGTTATCGAGATATACGAGGTGAGTCCTCTCACTATACTGTACCTGGAAGGGTTTGACTGTGTGACTGGAAGGTCGAATATGATGTGAGATATATGCATTATGTGTGATAAGTTAATCGTTATATGTGCAATGTATGATATGCTTGATGTGGGCCGGATGTGACAATCGCCAATCTTGAGTCAAGTCAAGTCATCAAGTCAAGCCGGTCAACTCTATTAAACCTTGTGTATTAGGGTTTGTGTTATGTTCGTACTGTATAACTTGCTATATTAATGGGAAAACATCACTTGAGAAAAGTCTTGTGTTAAAAATTCCCTAAGCCCTAGTACTAATCAATGAACTAAACTGATGAAAACCATGTTGCACACTCATTAGGAGTGCGTGGGATCCTTAATCATGACTTAACGGGGCTCAAGAGACTCGCATTACGGAACCAAACACTCACAAATGCCACACTTGAAATCTCTCCCAAATCTCTCCAAGTATGTGAAATCTCTCTCAAATATCTCTCTATATGAGAAATCTCTCCAAGAATGTCAAATCTCTCCCAAATCTCTCCAAGTATGTGAAACCTCTCTCAAATATCTCTTTGTATGAGAAATCTCTCCAAGAATGTCAAATCTCTCCCAAATCTCTCCAAGTGTGAGAAATCTCTCCCAAACCTCCCTCAAAAGTTTCCCGTAACTTTTTGGAATCATTCGGGTCATTCCGGCCCTTAACCGGGTCAAAAAAAAAACGGCTTGAAACAGGGCGAAAACGAGGAAAATAGGCTTTAGGAACCGAAACCGGAGTGAGAGGCCTCTTAGGACCAGAGACCGAGCCTCTGGTGGCTAAGAGACCGGAGACCGAGCCTCTGGTGGCTAAGAGACCAGAGACCGAGCCTCTGGTGGCTTAGAGACCAGAGACCGAGCCTCTGGTGGCTAAGAGACCAGAGACCGAGCCTCTGGTGGCTTAGAGACCAGAGACCGAGCCTCTGCCTCTGTCGCTCACGCTCTGCTCCTCTCGGTCTCTGTTCGCTACTCCGCCGCTCTGTCGCCTTCTGTTCCTTCTCTCGCTCGGTCTCTAGTCGCGCTTTCTGTTCTTTCTTCTCGCTCTGTCTCTCTTCGCGCCCCTCTGTTCTCTCCTTCCCCCTCTCGGTTCCTTCCCTCCTTCTCCTTCCCTCTCGGTTTCTGCCTCTTTCCCTCTCGGTTCAGCACCAGAAGGCCGAGCCTCGGCCAGATTTCGTATTTCTGTCACTTTTAGCCCATTTTTGATATTTTTAACACTTTAAGCCCGTTTTTCGTGATTTTAAAGCGGGATTTTCTCCATAAATTATATTTTAACATAATAAACTCTAAATATTCATAATTTAAACATATTTTTATGAAAATCATTATCTAAATAATAAAGATCTAATGGGGGATTTATTTAAGGTGGAGTGTTGACTTTGCCTTAACTTATGACACAAGCAACCACCCCACACCCACTCTATGACCAGCCATACCTCCCCACCTTACCTATGTCACTTCAATGTTCCCTTACACTCAAATTTCACTCACTCCCACGTTTTTGAGCTGGAACAAACAACCACACTCCTCATTTTCTCTCATTTCTCTCATTCCACTAAGTAACAAACATCACTTTTTCTCTCAAACTCTTCTACACAAATTTTCGAGATCCAAGGCTGATTTCAAGTGTTCTTCCACACTTAGTAAGTAAAAATTCATCCTCCCTATTATTATTTCACTTCATTCTACTCAAATCTTTGATTGCTTACACAAACTCCCTAACTATGATGTTAGATTCTCGAAAACCTTCAAGGCATCTCCAAGTGTTCTTGAATTAAACACTTCCATTCTTCAACAATCATC